CCGCTCTTATTCAGTTCGGTTCGGTTCGGTTATTCGGTTAATAACCGAAATGGCCACCCCTAGCTAAAACCCCATCTCCGGCTTCTATTTTTTATAATTTCCTTAAAAAGGTAAGGTTAGTCATTTTAGAAAGTGTTAATAAAAAATAGACAAAAATACGACAAGATAACTCTTACATGGTTTGGTCATTATCCTCAAAACTCGTGTTAATTTTGGTAAATCACCTCCTTTAATATCACATTGGTCCAGACGCAAATAAATAATATTTATTAAAAAAAAACACAAACAAAGCATTATAGTGTATATGTTAGAAATTACAAACAAACAGAGACAAATCCCAGTCAACAGCTATAAACGCTTTTAACATAATATATTATTTGATGAAAACACAACAAAGAATGATGACCGAATGCAGGCAGGGTTTTACACAGTTTCTTTAGTTCTTTGCTTTTGGATGGATGATGTCTGATATAGAGTGAAGAAGAAGATGAAGAATACCGGCAATAAGATTATCATTTCCAGATCTTGACAGACTTGTCATGACTGGCAGACGCCATCATTCCCGTCGAAGGCGACTGAGCAAGCGCAGAGATCACGCACTCGTGGGCCGGTATCGTCATACACTTGTTCTCAGCCATGTTCCACAACTCCAGCGACTGCCACACATCAGAGATTCTTTATCAAGTGAACTTCTCTTAACTAGCATCGGTTTATATTAAGCTCGAGTCAAGAGTAAAGTTACACGATCGGTAAGAGGGAAATTATGAACCGCAGTTACCTGGTAGCCACCAATGACCAAGAGAGTGGAATAGCTAGGATGAAAAACACAGGAGTGGAACTTGTTCCCACTGGAACTGAGCTCGTGGATGCAATCTCCCGAGGCCAGAGACCATACTCGCACCGAGTCTTCACTAACTGATGCCACATATTCTCCGTTTGCGTCCCAACATACGGAATGCACATTGGTGGAGTGTCCCTGACCATCCAAATATCAAACCCATTAGAAGAAAACAACTTCTATCCTATAAATCAAGCAATGGAAAAGGTTAACTTGAAAGCCAACTATACCAAATCAAACAATAAAACGTATTGGACATAGATATTTTGTGGTCTTGAGACCATGAAATACGTTCCCAAAGGAGAAAAAGGTGTTGTGTTTGGTTGGTCATCAACAGATCTTATACCTTTAACATGTGAATTTTCCTCTCAGTTTCTACATCCATAATTGTCACAGTACTGTCCGAAGCTGCAGCAAGAAGGTGACCAATTCTTGGCTGGAATCGAACTTGTGTGCTAGCCCCCTGCTTGAAAACATCTAAGGTAAGAAGGCAGAGGAGGTCAAGGAGAATTAATCGTAAAAAAAGGAAGTCCATGTCCTTGCCTTTGAAACATGGACGCAAGAATATGTATTGATGTTCCAGAAGCGGATGTCGTTGTTGCTGTCACAGGAGCAGAACAACTCGGTTTTCTTAGGGTGGAAATCAAGAGACATTACAGGTTGAGTGTGACCACCGATTGTCCGAATGTAATAACCAGGCTGCAAAAATTGATCCTAGTTAGTTGCAACAGAACCCTAATGGACGGCTAAAATATAGAACCTCTGATCTATTGAAATCATAGATGTATGATAACCAAGCAGTTAAAGGGAAAGATTTTGTACTTCAGAAGCATCCCAGATTTTAATAGTTTTGTCGAAGGAAGATGTCGCCAATTGAGTTGAATTAGGCCTGAAGCGAACATCCGTGATGATATGAGCATGTTCTTCTGGAGTGCACTCTGTCTGCAGTGTCTCCATGTTCCAGATGAAAACCTACTGACGGAAAGAAATAAGCATCCATATCATCTGTTTTAACAAATAAAGATCTTACCTATCATTATGAAGTGTATAACAAACGAAAAGAAAAGTAGTATGCCTGTTTGTTACCTTTTACTCATTCGAAAGTTCCTATTTCAGAGATTAAATGTAAGATGGTGTACCTTTTTATCATGTCCAGCGCTAGCCAACAATTTTCCATCCGTTGAGAAGTGACAGCAAATGACCTTACTGTTGCTTCTTCGTATCGAACCAACCTCGCTAAAGCTAAAACCTGAAATATAAAAAAGAACGTGGTTACTACATATGGCATACTAAATTAGATTTATCCGGAGAGATTAGAGGAAACCTTTCGAAGTTTCAGTAGTGTGCTCAGAAGGGTTCCGCTTCAATGTGCCAAACAGGTTTCCTCCATCTCCATCATCTTGTGATAAAAAGGATTCCACATTATCTTCTAGGGCACCAACATCTCCAAACTGTTCCATGTCTTCCTGTAGCTAAAAAAATTGTCGTAGGCAAGAAATTCAAAGAACAAAGCTCTATTAACTAAGAAAAGATTATCCAATACAAAACACTTTTTCGTTCCTTACTAGTACCACAAATGCATGATAAACAAAAAAGTTTATTAAAATCTACATGTAAATATTATTTGGGAGACTAAGAAAACTTACCAGTTGGTTTGTTGATGATGCAAGACCACCAATTCCATCAGAACCATACATCATTGGGCCTTTTGGCATGCTATTCACATGTTGCATATTACCGCCCATAGCAATGCCATCAGCAGGAGTGTGTGTTGACGGAGTTGATGGCTGCGAGTTGGAGGAAGGACCTACAGTGTTTCCTGTCCCGGTACTGTTAGCAGGACCAGAAGAGGAAGGTCCTTTCCTTTTGCGATTGTTCTATCAAAACAGAAGAGAGAAGTTGTGGTTCAGTCATCTCACTGCTGAAGAAAATAACTTAGAAGATTCACAATAATTGATGGAAACAAATGTGTGATGATACGCATGTAAAGTTACCTGCTGTGATTGCTGTGATTGTAGCGGATCTTGTTGTTGAGATGACGATTGCTGCACTGGTGGCATGTTTGTATGCTACAAAAGAAACAACAAACAACAAAATTATGGCAAGTCAGAAAGATATTTATCTACCCAGTTTGTTGAGTAGCGCGGTTACATAACATCCATGTTGAAAGATGTGTATGCAGCTCAAAACGCATTCAACAGGAATATTATGCATGTTTACCGTATTGGAGGAAAATCTTACTTTTGATGAAGTTGACTGCATAGGTGAACCTATAGATCCATCATTTGCATTTGGTTGACCATCTTTTGAACTCAAGTTTCCTCTAGGCAATCCTGTGAACCTTCGAGGATCCATGTCGCTGTACATGGGTGAGTTACCCATATTTCCTTGCGCTTGAACCTGAGCCAAGAGCTGCTGCTGCTGTTGCTGCGGCAACAGCTGAAATTGACTTGCATTTTGTAGGAATGATTTCTGAACCTGAGGGCCTACTCCTGGTCGGATTTGTTCAATCCCCTGTACCATTGTCAAGGAATTCAGAAAGGAGTCGAATAAATAAAGCTTGAACAGACTATCTCCCGGCAATGACTTACAGTTAATGGCCATCCCTTCAAAGGAAGACCGCTGACTCCAGGACTCAACCCTTCACAGATAGATAAAACCACAAAACCATAAGACTCATACTATTAAGCTATAAAATAAAGGAGGTGACCGTTATGTCGTCAGCACAATCTTTCAATTATTACATTGATTATATGAGATAATTATGGGTCCAATATTAACTGCATGCTGGGGCTGCCATGCTTCAAGCATGCTTTTTTCCCTCTTTTATTTGCATATTTGTATACTCCAGCACGCATTAGATTAGCCGTGTATACCTGCACTCCCCATTCCAGGTTTTGATTGCAGAATTCCCTGGCCATAAACTGTTGAAGGATCCACCGGTAGTGATCTTGGTGACGAACCCAAGTTGACTTCGCTTTTGATTTCCTGCATGCTTAAAAGATTCAGAAGCAGACCGATATATTTGACTTGGGGTTTATCTCTTTGAAGAGATAGATAGTCATCAATCAACAAAGAGAAGTGTTCAACAAGTAGTTACAGTGGTCTGTTGAGTCCGTGCCTGAATTTGCTGCAGAGCTGCCGATACACTTCCTTGATTTCCTTGGATCATTTGTCTGTTTCGTGAAACATAATAAGATTTTTTTTAAAGATGGGCTCAACATTGTGAAGAGGGCAAAATAAACCTGCAGATGATAAAAGCGAGCCAATTTACCCAGGATGGTTTGTCGCTGACTTCAGAAGGGCCATCCTAGCATCGAGCAGGGGTTGGGATGTTTCAGAATTCATCGGATTAGGTTGCTTCATACGTTCTTCATACATTTTTGCAGCCAAAGCACTGGCATTGGATTGCCCAAGCATCCCCTCAGAACCAATAGAACTCATTGGACCCCCGAAGGAAGGATGATTAGGGTCTCTACGCTGTAATTGAGCCTGGCGCATCAACTGCAGTTGCTGCATTTGCATCTGCTGCTGCTCCTTTGCTTTAACTTGTTGTGCCTACAGGTAAAAACGACGGATCAATTATCATGTTCACAAGATTGATAAAGGAATACGGCTACATTGTTGGAATTTTGGAAACAACCTCTATGTAAGCTGCTGCAGGTTCTGAATGCTTTTCGTTTGTCCTTGCGATGAAAATGTCCCAGAACACAGACCACCACTCAAAAAGAAACCCTCCAGGAGCATCAATCGCTGCATTGCATATAGTAATTCAGACAAGTCCAGGCACGCAGTCCAACGGGATAATCAGTATTCAGTTAAGTTAAACAACCAGTACAGAAGGAGAAAATATAAAATCCAGAGAAAGTGGAGAAAGAGGAGAGATAACACAGAAAAATATATTACTGGTCGCATTTGAAACAAAAAAAAAAAGGCCAAAGGTACTATTCCAGTTGCATTGTTAGCGCATTGTATCAAGAAAACTACATTCCTATCACGCATCACCAGACAGGTATTACAGAAATTTGGGCAATTGATGAAGACACATTTGAAACAAAAGAGGAACTCAGAACAGAGCTTCATGCAAACGGGTATTACCTACTGGATCTGGCGAAACCTTCCCTTCTGTCATAAAAGACTTCGCAGTATTGTGCAACTTTTTCTTCACCAAGTAATCATATATGTAAACATCAAGCCTAACAACAACAACAACAAAAAACGTGTTTAGAATCATTTCCAACGAAAAATTCTAAATCTGGGAACTGACATTTCGTTCATCAGATGGATTCGCTTACATCTTATCTGCTTCCCAATTACTCTGCGTCATAGCTTCAGCTAGAGATCAGACTATAAACAACGATTAAAAAAAATCAGTTTTCGACCAAAGAGCTCGAGACTCAAATCCCCAAGAAACTCGAATGCTTGCGAGCATCAAAGCGAACTAACCCGAAACGAAGCAAACTTGTTAACGGTGGATCAGAAGCCCTAATTTGATCGTCACAATAGATATCTCCAGAGATCAAGCATTGCCTCTGCGTAAACAGCGCAATTAGAAAGTAATCGGGAACGCTAATTACGATCCGCAAAACCTCGGGACTCGGGAGAGAATTCGTCAAATTGACAAAGGAATAAACAAACCCGTACCTGATCGATTACAAATAAGTGGATCTAGGGTTCTTGAGGTTCGAATTCTTAACCGTTTTCAGCTGTAGCTATACTGCTGAATAAAAGCATCAAACGAGCACGACGAGAGATCAGAGAAAAGAGTTTGAACAGGTCGGAGTCGGAGCCCAGAGGTTCGTACGTAAGCGATGCCTTGCAAGAGGATTTCACAATGGGCCTTCTAATGGTGGGCCTACGTGGAGATGGGCCCTTCTTTGAACCCAAACCCTCCTATATGGGCCTACGATATTTTAGGACAATTAGTTGATGAATATAAAAAAAAAACTGATAAAAGTTGTAAAAATGTATATTTTACCAAAAAAAATGACAACTAATATTTCTAATTATTCAAATATAAAATACGTTTAAACTAATTCATAATTAAAGTATAAAATTCAGATGTAATGATAAGATAGACTTTCATTTTTTTAAAGTATCTTATTAAAAAATTTAATATATTTGTTGTATTTTTTTGGGTCATCTTAACTAGTATAATTTCAAATGTACAACATGTAGATTTTTCCATTCGGATCCCAAATACGCCTATAATAATTAGGACAGTATGATAATCCTTAATTTAGCAAACCATAAAATTTGTCGGTTGGGGTTTGAAAATTAATTAATCCAATCATATGCTTGGTTTCGGTCCTGTATTAGTGTGGATATTGATTCAGGATATCTGATTATAAAAAAATAATAATAATTAATCCACGATTATTTCACGGGTTCCGCATACTCTCAGCTGCTTTGGTCCGCCCGCGTTATCGGTGAAATTAGTTGGGGGGAAAAAAAATAATTATGCCTACGCTAATAATTAGAACATGGTCCTCTGCTAATTTTGACTTTTTATATATCTTTCGAATTTTTGTTTTTATTTATTTTCTTTTTTTATATAAAATTATATCCAGTTGTTTTTACATCGGTTTCCTTTTTATTTAAAGTTTGGAGGCAACTAACATCATCATTATTATTATTATTATTATTAAAAACCCGACCTCGTGACATAAAAAGCTAAATAAATAAAAATATAAGTACATAGCGAGCCTTTTTATTTCGTGAATTGGTTAGGAAGGCAAAATATGTGTGGCCTCACCATTAATGGCACCTAAAAGCTCACAATAAATGTCATCACATTAAGGGGTTTGAATAATTCAATAGTCTTTTTAATTTTCTGAATCGAGCAGCAAGTTAGAAAGTGTGGACCGTATATTTTGAAATTAATAAGGACTTTAATCATATATGTTTATAAAATTACGAATTCTTCGGACGTTTAATCGATAAAAAAAAAAAAGTTATAATATTTAATCATACATGAAAATGTTAATATATATATATATATATAAAAATAATACATCTAAAAAATGTAAAATTTATTTACTTTTTTTATTTCAATTGTTATTACACATATATGTTCATCTTATTATTTTTATAATTTAAGGTTTCGACCTTAAGTTTGTTTCATTTTATTTGGGCATATTGTAACATAACGTAGACAACTTTTATAGAACCATTACAGATTATGTGCTATATATTAACATTAATACATATATATATATATATATATATGGGCAGCGATACAATGTATAAAAATAGTTCATTTTGTTATATTTATTAAATTAATAACGTTACAAGTTTATCTTCTTTATCAAGCATCTCTTTCC